GTTATGAATGTATGTCTCTTTAATCCGAAAATTAAGTTAGGTAGATTATCATTACAGCTTTCAGGTTAGACACTTCTTTTATTGTTTTCACATATACATTTTAGGCTTATATAAATGTTAAGCCACTCTTAGCATTTTACGCTTATATAAATGTTAAGACCCTCTATGTGTTTTGTTAGGAAATTATTGGTAATATGTTGTGAAATTATAAAATTATGCATTAATTCTCTTTAAAATGATTTTAATATTGCTATATTGCATGTAATTAACCTATAAAACGATTATATTTACAGTTACTGCAACGTTATATTGTAGAAAATACACATTATTTAAAAGTTGTACTTATATAAGATTTTATGAGCACATGTTAATATATAAAAATTTTCTGTATGAATGTTTGGAAAGTGTATTTTTGGTGTTTTTAATGGCGGTATTAAAAAATCTATCCAATGTTACCCGTTATACACCGTGGTTTTAAAAGACAGAACCATGTTATTGCACTGAAGAGGGGCTTAACATTTATATAAGCCTGAAATGCATATGTGAACACAATAAAAGAAGTGTCTAACCTGAAAGCTGTAATGACAGTGTACCGAACTTAATTTTCGGATTAAAGAGACATACATTCATAACACATAATAACAGCCACCATAAGTGATATTTAGAATAAAGCATGATAATGTGAAAAATGTATCTGTAATCTTTATTTACAATTTACCACAATGAGATCTCTCACCACTTCAATATCTTCCTAGGGCAGCATCTGGTTCGGCCCGTGGAAAAAATTTTCTTTCCAATTCGGCCCGGGGCAAAAACTGTTGGCCACCTTTCATCTAGAGACTGGATAGCGAACCTTTTCGAATTTCAGTAGCTCTGTGGAGTCGGAGTCGGAGTCGTGGAGTTTTGATATTTTAGCCGGAGTCTGAGTCGTCAAAAATTCCGCCGACGCCTACTCCTTTTTATTTCCCAACTTGTTATGTATATAAAACGGAAAATATTGGAATTGTGTCAAATTTGACTTTCCAGGTTTTTTTTCTTGCAAATCTTCACGTTTAAAGACCTCTCGAACCCCTTAAAATCAATAAAAATTCAGGGGAAAAATTCGCGTGCATGTTTGTGTTGGCGTCTAATTTGTTTAACTTCTTTATTTTCTGTTCTAAGATATTAAACAATATCTCAGAATGGGTAAAGTTTAAGAAACGAAATGTCGCACTGTGGCTTGCGTATAAAGGGGCATTAATACTATTAAATTTTGGTTCTTAATTAATTAAAGGTCGACAAGATGAAGACATAAAAGTGGTCATATGTCATATCTCTTAATGAATATTTTACTCGTTATTAGCGTTCAAAATTTTAAAAAATGTACATGAAACTTGTCTCTACCCTCAAAGTAAGCTTTTTTGCCATTTTATAATAGTACAGTAAAACCCTTTAAGATGTTCTCCTAAGACGTTAGAATGTGTATGAGGACATGATTTAGTTCAACCACTTTGACGCTTAATAATTAACTCTTGTTCTAAACCATCTGACTCCGATTCTGACCACTCTGACCACAGAAACTATTAGGCTTCAAACAGAATGAACAAAATCATGCCCACACACACATATAGAAAAAATCTTTGAATCTTTTGCATATCTCGAAATTTCAAGGTGCCCTAAGTCCAAAAATATAAAATTTCGGGAGGGGTCATTTTTTGACCTAGCGCTACACTTTCCCTCTGTTATATATAACAACCGGAAAAGTAAAAATTATCGAATATATTTTTATATATTACTTAGAGGAGTCTTTTAGCTGTGGAATAAAAAGTTTCTACATTCTGTCTTTATTAGAACTCTATTTATTGAATCTTTTATTCTGAGGTTATGTGATGACATCAGAATTTCGGGGACTCTTTCGGTAACAAGTCCGCCCCTGATCGGATTCAAAGGAGTCGGATGGTAAGGAAAAGTCAGAGTCGGAGTCGGTAGATTTTTACGCGACTCCACAGCCCTGAATTCCAGTGCCAAATAGTAAGCATACTTATCTTGAAAAACTTTATGCTTGCCAAAGTTTTAGATTTTGAATAACGATATGTGACGAAATGAAAGGAATATGCTTTCATTAGAATAAATGTAAAGAAACTGATTGAATGATCGAGTGACGAATAGAAGGAATGATTGAAAAATGCATGTTATAAACAGAAATCTCATGATATGGTGTCATTGGTTCGCTATCCCTAATCTAGACGGACTAAGTATGACTTCAGGCTCTATTCAGAAGTCAAAGCAGTATTTACATACTATTAGCATGCGCATATAAAATATTTTTAATTATATTGAAAGTTTTCATAATATACTGCTACATATTGAAGTATTATTGAATATATTCTATACAGGTGTGATATTATAAAACCATTTTATAAAAAAACGATAATTAAGCACGACAATGGATCATTTGGTGGAATATTTGGAGATGTCATTAAAGAAGTAAGTACTGTTATTATACTAATTAAAATGATTACTTGAATAAAAATAAAGCATTTGATACTTTTTGTAATACTTAAAAATATTTATTACACAAGTATCAAGAATAAAAGTATCATTCATTATATCTTTACCAGAAACTAGACACAACTCCAGTGATGTATGTTTTTGCAGAAGATCGTTTTCGTGTAGCAACGTATTCGGTTACGGCTAAAGTAAGTCCTGTATATTTTGTGATTAAAAAAATGGAAAGCGAACTGATTTGGGAAGCAATATACAAACCATTCTCTTACGAGGTAATTTATTTTTACATAAAAATAAGTCGTTACTTAGTGCAACTATTTAGTTTTTTAAGAGATATGTCATATGCAAGTAAATAAAACATTTATAATTATTTTTTGCAAATGTTGTTGCGTAGTCAGCATATCCATTCATCGCAATGAAACGGTAATTCAACTGTATATTAAAAATAGATTTTAAACTATATGAAATTTGTAATTGCAAAAATACGAATAGATTTCTCAATAATCTAAACGGAATAAAATATCAAAATTAATATGTAAACTAAAAAGTCTAAAATCACTTCTAAACTTTTCATTCATCATTACTTCGATTGTTATATACTAATTCTTTTATATATTATATTAATATATATATATATATTATATGTTATATGTTATATGTTATATATTAATTCTTTTATTAACAAAAATAATTCCTATGCTATCATAATATTTCGAGAACAATGACAATTCAGCCGTCTCTTCAGCTTCGTACGATAAACTTATTGGTAAATGCTAAAAATACTTGTAAATGTAAATTACTTATTTATTAACACTCCAGCGATTTTATAGACATTCCAGCGATACCATCAATTTCAAATCCAAGTGCTAATTGACACAATATTAAACATATGATATATAAGGACGCAAAAAATCAACCGGAAAACTGCCGTTAAACGTCAAGTGGTTCAGCAATAGCGAAAGCAATTGGCATTTATTGGCAAATACAGGAAATTAAGGAATGATACATGAATTACACACGGGTGTTTGAGTTGAGTTCTACGGTTTCGAAACCATTACAGTTCTGTAGAAAATTTTCCATAGAACCATACAACTCTACTCGTTTACTTGTACGCAACTCATCTAGTCACGTCTTTACCGTACATGCATGCGCCAATAAATGTCGTTTGCTTTTCTCAAAAATCGAGCAACACTATGCCGCTCTTGCTTTGTGCACTGCTGGAGAGGCAACAGTATTTTATTAGTCTTTTGTCTCATGTTCTCACGCATCAGCAATGTTTCCAGTCGCAGTTATCGTTGTCTCTGACTTGAGAGATTCGTGTGTCAGAATTAATACACTATTACTCATTCTCCCGACGTTCAGGGACTGTTAATTTAATAGAGAGGTTGCGGCCGACATTTTCAACGCGAAAACGTGTACGTCGGCCGTTTAGCGCCGCTTTCCTAAAGACCTAGAAGTTTGGAAATGGTGTTTAGAATATCGAGCATGATTCCATTGACTATCCAAACTCCATTGTCAAACTTCTAGGCTTATAGGAAAGCGGCGCTGAACGGACGACGTACACGTTTACGCGTTGAAAACGTCGGCCGAATCCTCTCTAATAATTTCCACAATGGAAGAGTGAAAGGAGGTTTGACAAGTCAGACAAAGTCGGACAAGCAGAAAGAAATAATTGAACTTCAGTTAATTAATGTTCGTTTTATTTCATTAAAGTTCACACAGTTTATGCATTTTATTAGTCATAAAGTGATAAAGATTAGATGAGTTTTGTTGGACGGCTGAAGAGGTGAGGGTACAATAGAAACTGGGACGACGAGGAAGTAGGAGTAAAAATATGAAGAAAAATGCAGACGTAATTTATGTACAACTCCTTAATGGCATGTTTTCTGTTATCTGTCGAAAGTGCTTTGCATGTAATAATTGAATATAACAATTTAAAATTATAACACAGTATTATCTATATTACCTAATATGTTCATACATTACAAACTTTTGAATGTCTAAACAAGACTGTAAAGCAAGTTACTATCATATTCAACCACTGTTGTATTTATTTAAACTCAAATATAAATCATATATTTTCGTTTACTTGAAACTATTTGTTTTAATTGATAAGTAATTTACTTTGACATGTATTTTCACTATTCACCAACACGTTCTGTCTGTCATCCTAGGCTAAAGAGTGAAGTGAATTGATATTTATCCAAAATGTTTCTCGAAATATTGAGAAATTGTATGAATTACATTTTAATAAAAACGTTAATAACACTATAGTTCAAAAGCGTTATCGTTGGTGTGTGACAAGTTTTAAATACTTAAGCAAGAAAGTGTGCTTAATTAAAGAAGAATACAGTAGTTATATATGGACAAAAAATTAAAGAAAGTCGATTTATTCTAAATAACTATATTTAGAAGTTTAGTATTTAATATATCTAATAAATAAAAATTAATAATATCTTTCAGATTTGGCTAGCAATCGCTATTACGACAATTGTTGTAGCAATAATTCTGTCGATAATAATGAAATTCAATCATCGCAATGGGACAGACAAAAGACAATGGAATATAAAACAAACATTATGGTATCTTTTTGGAACATTATCTACTCAAGGTACAATACATAAAACCCATTTCATCAATATTGAATAGATTAATGAGTTTACAAGAATAACTTTTATATCTATGATATAGGTGGAGATATAGATCATATAAAGAAAACCGCATCTAGAATAGCGGTAGGACTGTGGCTGCTGTGCTCCAGTGTTTTAGTTTATAGTTACAGTGGAATATTGGTATCATTCTTGAGCGCTCCAGTACAATTACCTTTACCGACAACATTTCCCGAACTGGCGAATGCAGTTAAAGCTGGAAAATTGTCATGCGGAGGTTATAACAGAGGAGGAGTAAACAAATTCATACGGGTAAACTATATATTTTAAGTGTGTACGAAAGCGAATGAAATATATATATAATTACATAACTTATATTGGTTTAATTACATATATTGGCATGTACAAATCGAGATAAGTATCTTATGAACTCTTTTTTTTCCAAGATTGCCGATATATTAATTTTGTCTTAATTTAGAATTCCACTCCTCTGCGGTCTTGATGATAACGAGAGAGGGGGCTTTACCCATTTGGAGGTTGATTTGGAGGATCTTGAGACAGTTATGATTATGCTGTGTGATGATGATGGATGAATTATTGGCCATAATTGGTTTGGCTTACAGATTGAACTTGACTCTGTTCGTTATGGAGTACACTGGGTCAAAGGTGTTATGGCCTGTTCTCAGTTGTTTTCCATCTGGCTGTTTATTGTTTGCTTTTTTACAATTAGTGCAACAGGGAACCTTGTCCAGGCGTCGGCAGTTGTCGAAACGGTGTTGTTTAGTGCAACGGCTGCACCTGAGGACTCCTTGGCATTATGATTATAGCAGCAGCAATTAAAACAGAGAACGATCGGTATATAATCATTGGCTTTTACGTTAGCCCATGATATGGACAAGTGCTTTTGGGTAACAATTTATTTCCTAATTGTGACTGCGATGATGATTACTGGCAGATCACCTTGATCCTACCTTTAAGGAGGCTGATTCTGACTCAGATAAAAATTCGTCTTTGTTTATCTCTTGAAGAGTTTTGTTTAGCTCATAGGCAAAAGTCAAAATGTTCTTGTCGTCCACCGAGTTGGGCACATTTACGAAGATTCTTGGCTGTTTTCTCTTGGATATGATGCCTTTGACCTTATTTTTTATGTAGAGTATCCCTGTTAAGGTCAAAACTTTCGGGTAGAACAAAGGATATTGTTCTCACCGAAAGTTTCTGTCGCGATAACCCATGATAGAATCAATGCAGACGAACGAAATTTTTGCATATTTATGTCAGCAGTGTCCGTCGAATATACGAAGATCGGCTCCGATGGCCTGACGGAACGGCTAAAATCTCACCGATAGTTGGCCAGTAACGGTCGCGATAACTCACGATTGAATTGACAGAACAAAACACATCATGTATCGTTCGATTTGGATTAATATGACGAATAACGATGCACACCGAACCTAACCCGGAAATACCCTCAATCGGATTAACAGTGTCGGAATGTGAACCACGTGGTTGCGGCCAAAAGTAAATCGTAACTTTCGAAATATTTATCGGATTTTAACGAGATAAACGGTATTCGACGGCGCAACTCTTCACTATAAAGTGACATATAAAACACTTACAGCCAATGCGTAAAACCGGCGAAATCGTGATCAGAAACATTGCTGATTTTAAACACAACACACCACCTCAGAAACATCCGCATCTTCTCAATGAGACACTAAAAAGATTTCTACTGATGATTATGTTATGTTAATACCTACAGGATAACATAACTGCTTGGCTTCTTTAACTTTACGGTACGGGGGATATAGTTTGCAATTCAATTCTCGGCTTTTCAACGAATTCGTACATACTGCCCAGTGCAGAGATTAGTATCCTTCATTAATGCAAGCGCTCGTTCTGGCAACAATGACATTGCTTTCTGAAATAAGGACCTGTGGGTCTTTAGGAGTCGTATCTTAGGAGTCGTATTCCCTATTTGGTGACGCAGCAGAATGTTCTTCAACAATTGATGCGTAATCTCTTTTGCCTTCCCTCCTTACTTTAATGTCTGTGATGGTAATCAATTCTTGGCAAGTCGACGGCCGAAAATATCGCACGTTTTGCTTTTTTAGACAGGATCACAAGCATCGAAAGTCTTTGTTGGCGGCAAAGTCCAATCGTGAGAGTATTTAGTCTGGAAGTACTCGGAACAACTTTAAATATATTGTCAGAAAATGTAATGTTTTCATAGAGCAATGACAAATAAGTATGGAAGAACCGTTGTCGATGCCTGGCTACTTTTTCCTGTTTACTATTAATTTTTTTTAGCAAACTTTCCTAATTTTCTGTTTCATACAGCTTTAAAAAATTTCAAAATTTGCTATATCTCCCATTTCTCAAAGAAACTAAGTAATCAAAGTTTCAAACTTCAAATTATTTGGATTTTTTTCTATATTTCGAAAAGGGCATTCCGGAAAATTGGTAATTTTGTTAAAAATGAAGCAAATTTAATGCGCAAATTTGCACAAAACCTCTCTTATAATTTAATTACTCGATGATGGTTTCTTGAATAACCATATAATCACAAAGTGAAACTAAGTGTAATACTAAACTTAAACCTTACATAAAGTTCAAAAATAACTTTCAGATCGATTAAAAATTATTCATCTTTCAAAAGATTTCTTCGAGTCGACGATACCTAAATTAGAAAAAATACAACCAATCGTAACAAGAAAAATCTATATACATTACGATTCGTACATACGGTAACATCGGAATATTGCAAGGGGCGCACACTGATCGAGTCAACTACGTAAATGTAGCCAAGCTCTATATGCAGAGCTATGCATGTCTATTGCAAGTTGGGGCAAATTTAGAGACGTACTGTATAGTAACACTGCTACCTTTTCTCATTTCGAGGAAATTTAATTCCGTTCCCAGACATTGTGGACGTTCTGCTATCGAGATATAAAATAAATTAACACTTTGGGTTGATTCGAAAATTGAAATTTTTTACCTAGATTCCAGTTATTCACGTTGTGCTGTGTCTAAGATTACCCAACTCTTTCCAGTACAGTACGTAAACTCCATTTGTTACAAGAAAAATTTAAAATAAAAAATTATATATGAATATTGTAAAAATCTGTGGAGACTGTCTTTTGCCGAATTTATAGTAAATAATGGAGATTAAACAGTTCTTGTAACCGAAATAAAGTATCAGGATGTTTCTGCTTTTGAATTATGGCTGACGCTTACCTATTTTAGATTTACGATTTATTTATTGTTTAGCATTAGTGATTGCACAAATTTTCAATATTGTAATATTATTTTAAAATTAGAAGATTCGAACTTTGACAGTCTCCAATGTTATTTGCATTTCATAATTTATGACAATACTTTTTCAGCACAGACTAATCATTATTTATTATGTTTCTGCACAGGAATCGAAAGACGGTTGGAGAAAAATCATAAAAGATCACATATTAGAAAATGGTAATTTCTTGGACGGAGACGACGAAGTAATTTTTCGATTAAAACAAGGAAAATTCGCATTTATTTGCGATATATACAGAATTACGAAAATGAGAAAAAGAATAAGAGGAAAATGGTACATATCTGACGATGTTCTAGGAACTTTTTCTGTTGGTTACGTCGTCAGACGAACATTTCCAGATAGAAAGAACATGAATAAGTTGTAAGTGTTTATACTTTTTTAACTTAAAGCAAATTATATTTCGTAATATTGATCTAATGGAGGCCGATAATAATCTTATTCGATTAATCGTTATTTTCACAGAATCATCAGAATAATAGAGTCTGGAATCAACGATGTAACGTTTCCAAGAAACAGAATTCCCGATGATGTAACTGAATCAGAGGGGAAACCGCTAACTTTGGAGAACTTTTACGGACATTTCTTTGTCCTCTCCATTGGATATTTACTGGCGCTAATTTCTTTTATAATAGAAAAAGTCGTTGGAAAATTTAAAAAATCAAATTCGTTGCATTCGGAAAATCAAAGTACAGTACATCCGGCAACTTTGATTCCGCTTAATTAATTGTTGAAATTTCAAATCTTTAACACAACTTACTTCATTATGTTCACAATTACTTCAAAACAACATTAACTTCAAATTGACTAATATTTCACCTTTCGAATTAGTATGACCTTTAACATAATTATCAATATATGAATTTGTATAACTATCAAAATCTTGAAATTATTTATTTATTTTGAAACTATTTAACTTTAAAAAATTAAAAATCTCAATATAAGCTACACAGAATTTCTTAATCTCGAGTGAATCTAAAATTAAAATAAATCTATTTCATTATCGAAACGACTTTCGAAGCATGCCCGCTATCTCTATCTTAGCAGTTATCTCTACGATCCGGAATTTTTTATGTAAAAAGTTGACTAATTTGATGGCTGGAATGGTGGACACTTTCTTTTAAAATAGTAGAAAATTGGTTCCGTATTTAAAATCGGATTATCCATATAAGTTTTATTTATGATTCACAACATTTGTGAATTAATATATGCAATTTCACTAGTAACATAACTTTACCGAGAAATGACATTTAATTTTCTGAGTTAGCATGCAGGAAAACTCAAAATCCGATACATATAGAACTGCAAAACTTTAGTTTTCCTCATAGTGAAGCGAAAAGGTGTTATAGTCATATATCATCACTATTTCTATGCTGTTGAATGTAAAACGTTGCTGGTTTGCTAAAAGCAAATTTTTGTAAATCGAGAAAGATATCTTAACATCTATAGACATTAAAATAGCGTAATTTATCTTTACAGTGTATTCTACAATCAATGCATTTAATGCTACATATTCTGAGTTTGGTGTTTGTATAAACTATCTAATTTTTGCTTGGTAAAGACATCTTCTATCTACTTCTCACATTTTGTGAGATTTTTCACTGCTTTTAGTTAGTAAAATTGCGTGTTTCGATCAGTTTTATTTGTCCTACAGAAATTTGAAAGTTTGAATGGATAAGACATTGCGAATTGTGTGTTCATTCTCAATTAATTTTTTTGGCATTTGTGACGACTTTTGAATCTTGCCTAATCAAAAAAGCATGTAACTGCTTGAAAGCGTGAAAATTTTCAGCATAAAACTTTTATGCAATAACTCAGGTGTCCCATCTCGTTTCAACCGATTCTGACTGTTTTCCGAATTTGTTATATTTTTGTAGATTTCCGCAACAAAACGGTTAGCATTAGTAAACTCTATCCGAACGCTTTTGCACAGGGGATGTAAAACGTGTGCAATATAAATGAGGCTCTTCAGTTCTGTAAACAAATCTTTAATGAATGCAAAAGCAGTAACGTGCATTTCGTCAGGTACTGTACTTTTATGCATGTTTATCGAAGAAATGTTTAAATGCGTTATGCTGTACAACTTTATAAAGGTTTTTGCCTACTTTGAACATCAAGGTCACAAGTATAAAAATTTATTTCTGGCACTTTGCTGTTGGGCTTGATGTTTAAAAAATGGCGGAATGAAGTCTTACTTAATTAAAGAGAAGCGAAACCCTGATGGAGTCGCTTGTTTGATAGGTGCTTCACATTTTCGATATAAGGTAAAGTCGAAATGATGATTTATGTGGAAATTGTTAACATTTCTATTATTTTTTACTTCATGAGCTGAGAATTATTTACAAGTCGTTTCTTTCTCCGCCTTGCAGACCTATTGGTGGAGCACCAAAATATTTAAGGCTTATTTACTACTGTGTTGTATGTAGCTTATAACTGTTCGCTATTCGTATATTTACGCAACTTATTTATATAAACCTCTGACCTCTGTATATCTAGCAAAATAAAAAGTTTGATCTGCACTTGGATGCCTCTTATTTTCGTTTTAATTGTTAGGAGTAAGCGTATGATTGTTTGCGCTAATCGATACGTAAGTGAAACAAGCAGAACATTTAAACTTACAATCAAAGAACATTTAAGAGCCGTTATATGCAAGTTATATGTCGTGTAGATTGCGAGCTCTCACTAGACAGTGTCAAAAGTTTTTAAAGAGAAAAAACATTATTAGGAAATTTTTCGAAAATCTAGAAATTATTAAAATTACAGAAAATAGAATGAAATTTGAACACTGTCACTGTCATTGGTGAGATTTACAGCTACAGCGATAAGAAGAGTTCATTAATAATATTCCTCACCTCCTCACATCCGGTATTTTTTTCATATTACCCTCTGTAACGTCTATGTAAATTTTAGCTGAGAATCATACAATGATAGTCACACATCCTTGTGATACATTTTAATAAGTGTTACTTTTTTAGAGGATACAAACTTACGTTTTTCAACTTTTTATATATTTTTTTATTTACTATACTCTCTTTTTTATAATTTGCAGTTATTTTTTTTATTAATGTCTTTATTTGTTAACTTACACTTTTAATATATTTTGTTTTAGAATATACAGTCATCTGTATTCTCACGACTTGCATTTACTTACTGTACTTCCATTTTATAATATACGGGTATCCATTTTATTTCTATTTTTATTTACAACTCTCTACAGTTTAATTATTTTACAATCTACTCAGGTATTTTATCGTACCTAAAAATTTACTTATCATGGATTTAACCGTAACACATATGTAACTTCAGCTATCCAGATTATATTGTGTTAGTTATAACTTTATGTAGTCTATATTTTTAGCTATAACTTATATTTTGTAATATTTTCGTAACCAGACTAATGTAAAATGAAAAGGATTCATCCTTTTCATTTCACTCATTTTCATATGCTTATTGGATAATATGGCCTTCATTCATGAAAGCCATATTGATCAAAAAGCATATCTTCTATAATTAATTAATGAAGTCTGTGTATTTATCTAGTGTGTTCATGTTTGATTTGTTTTCTGAAGCAATCTTATTCTTATTCCTAACAAAAAGTTTTATGTATGTTTATTATAAATTTTATATTTTAATTTTCGGTTAATTATTAGCTAGATATAGAACATTTTTGAAGCAATACATAAAAAGAATAATTGATATATTTTTTGATTCTTTTATATGTTTCGAGCAACAGACAAAACTATATCATCTATACACGAAGTTATACGAATTACGTTATAATTTCGAACTAATGTAATTTCTTAAACTACAGCATATTTTTTTTATTTCAAGTCACGATATAATTGAATTTATGAGATTTTATAGAAAAGACAATTCTTAAGAAATTAAAAAGAAACTTAAAATTCCAAGAAAAATCACATCAATCAGATTGCTTTTATAGTATAAAGCAACATCTTTATGAATTGTTAATTTTCAAAAATTCCAAAAAAACTGTATGAATAAAATAACCTGTTATATTTTTAATAAACGTAACTTATTTTAAATTACTAAATAAAACAACTATTTTTTGTTCTAAATATTTAAATAATTAAAATACTTAAATAATCTCTTTATATATATAATCGAGATGAATTGATAATAATAATGTGCTTATTGTACTTGTTGTTCTGTCTTCTACAGGTTGATTCCACACACACTACACAAAAGCCTGGGAACATTACAATTGAATAGAAATATATACATCATACTACAGAAGGCTACTATATTGAATACATGCCACATTGTTAGGAAATTCCTGAATACAGACACTGACACACTTATTTAATTTTTGTTTTTGGTTCTTATGTCTTGACTCTGGTCCGGCATAGTACACGGCCACCGGTGTGAATTGAGTAACCCGCTAAATCCAACATAATAATAATAATAATAATACCGACTTGGACGTCTCCCGGGATAACAAGGTCCTGGGTTAGGCAGAGGCTCACGTTCGAAACATAGGCCCAGTGTTGCCGCAATGAAATTTCAAAACGTACTGAAGCGCCTTCAAAAAATGTACTATTTTCCTTCAAAATGTACTAGTTATATGAATACTTTGTTTACTTGCCTATATATATATAGGCACGTAATTTATATATATATAGTATATTGTCAAATAATTTAATTTTAAATCTTATTTTTGGAATTTTTTGAAAGCTATTTAAAATTAAAAGTATATCTACAAATCTATTAGTTATTATAAAATGAACATTACATTGACAACATTTATTGATAATACTATTGAATTTCATCTTAATTTTATAACCAATCATGCTTTAAAAAAATAATTATAAATTTGTTATATTATATTATTATATTCTTGTTTGCTTAAAACACGCGACTCAAAAAACCCCAAAATGGCGGCTCAAGAAGTAGATCACGCGTGTCCTGGCCTTCTTATATAGACCTTGAAACAGTCGGAAGCGCGGCCATTTTGGAACTACACGTAACATTAACCGTTATTTCTTTTACTACGATTACTAAAATTGAAGTTCATAATTTAAGAATTAAATTATAGTGGTAGAAAATAATATAAAAGTATTTATATTATTTATACTCGTACAATTTCAAAACTATTTT